GCTCCACCTTCTAACCATAAAACCTGCTTACTACCCTGAAATCTAGATGCAGTATCTAGAGCCGGTAAGAATTAAGGAGATAAATGTCACTTTTTTTTCTTTTTTTTTTTGCTTTAGATTGCTTTTGTTAAAGTTAAAGCAGTGGCTAATCGCTGCAAAGTTGTAGCCAAAGAAATGTATTATATCTTCATAAATAAAAATTTGTTCCAAACAGTTCTAAAGCACTGAGGCAAATTTAGCCTCATAAAAGCAATCTTCCATTTTATCTAAAACAATAATGGAACCTCTTGTTTTTAAATATTTATGTGTTGTTCTCTGACTTTCCCACCCATAAAGCTGATTTTAGAATTTAGCCCTAAGTTGTCAATATCGGAAAGATAATCCCAGCAAAGGAGACACAGAACTGCATGCTGGGTATATGGCAACCTTGTGACTGGTCACTGCGTTCTTATACTTGCATTTGCCATACAAATTTGCAGGGATCAGCATGACGATCACTGCAGCTCCTATGTGAACTGAATCATCCCTCTGTCTAATACACCCTTTATTTACTAAATGATCCCAGTGCCTCATTTCATCAGTGCTGTCTAACTGGTTGGTTTCTCTTTCTTCTCTCTCTCCCCCTTCCTTTCTTCTGTTTGTGATTTTTTTTTTTCCTGGTGAGAGAATAGGTATAATAAAAACTCCCAGTCCAAGTCAGGGTCCAAATGAAGTCCCTCGACTGCCAGATCCCAACCTCATCTTCCCTCCAACCCCCAGGCGTTATAGTGCTCAACAGGATTCCATGCTGGAGAGACCCAAGACCTTGGAATTCCTACCTAGGCCACGCCCTTCAGCTAACAGGCAGCGAGTTGATCCCTGGTGGTTTGTATCCCCAAGTAAGGCTAGGGGTGAGTCCTCTGCTAATAGCTCCAGTACTGAAACTCCCAGTAACCTGGATTCCTGCTTTGCCAGCAGTAGCAGCACTGTTGAAGAGCAGTCCACACTGCTTTCTTTTCATGCCAGACTGCCTGAAGAGGAGCGGACACTGCTGGACATGGACGTTGAAGGTCAGAGTCAGGACAGCACAGTGCCGTTATGCAGAACAGAACTCAGAACGCATAAACCTGCAGCATATGAACTCAAGCAAGAATTTTGGTCCTAGCATGAAATTCACAAGGGGTTGGTAAGCTCCTTTTAGCTTCAGTTCTACTTCTTGCACTAAGAATGCACTTTCAAAACAGGTAAAGTAGGAAGTTGGTGCTGAGGCCATATCACATTTCTTGGTCCACCTCAGAACTGGTTTGGGGAGCCCAGTTTTTTATAGCTGCATGTGGCTAAGCTACACAGAGTTGCTGACTCTTTTTCTGGGGTTTCTTATAGCCCTCCTTGTCTCTTCATTACAGTGTTAAACTGCAACAAGCAATGCGATATATCTAAGCCTCTGTTCTTGATCTTCAAGAATACAATGATAACTTGCAAAAATAGACATCAGTGTTTACACACTGTTAAACTGCAGGAAATTATGTAAAAGTGTGCCTGCACCAGCACTCTTGTCACGCTTCATGTGACTTTTCTCTCTTAGTGCTCTAAACTAACTTTTGCTTCTTTTGCTTCTCCTCCTCCTTCTCTGTATGCATATGACACTTCTTTGAGTCTGAATACTGTGGGTGTGGGGGATTCTGGGCTATCTGTGGGAAACCAGTATTTTGTCAAGATGACAAAATGTGTGTTTTGACACCATAATGCAAGCTCTGCCCCTTACATATCTGCATGCAGTATAACTCATGTACAAAAGGGGCAAAGTTTCTATTACAAAATCATGACACACCTTTTATCATTTGCCCCCCTTGACCCCCACAGCTGACTCTGGGGGATTGGTTCTTCATAAATACTGAACTTGCCAATGTCATCTAAAGCACTCACTCAACTATATTTAATGATGTCTATTGAGAGGTAGAGAGCCTTGAGTTTCAGAGGTGCTTATGTTATAGCTCCTGGAATCAGGTGTTGGGGGTAAATGGATGCAGGGTTGTATCAGGGCAGATCCACCAGTGGGGTGTATGTAGTGGGGAGGCTCTGATAGTGAAAGTGGAAGAATGGGATACTGTGGTACTTTGATCTAACCCAATCATGGAAAAACACTTTTACCTCTTCAAAATTGCAGGCTGTATTGCAATTAGAAAGTAATGTAATTCAATGAAAAATCATATATAGAATTCTGCATTCCTTGCACAGATTTTGGCAATATTTTGCATGAAAAAGTTGCTAACGGAATATGCCCTTTTTTCACCTAAACTTCTGATTAGGCGTCTAAAGTTTTTGATACCATTTAGCTAGCTGTGTAAGGCAAGCAACATGCATGGATCTCCTACTCCCATATTGTTCTGTGAGTGGGTCTATTTCTCACTTTTTAATTTCAGCTGCTACAATACTTGGTTTTTAAAAAGATCTGGAAAAACTATAACTCCTCCAATACTCCTAGGCTATTGTTCATGTAACTTCAGTTTCTGGGATGTTTTCTCCCTATTGTAACTATTTTGATTTGTTTTCATTTTGTTTTGTTTTGTTTTTTTGATAATAAGTGGCTACAGTTCCTTACTTTGAACCATAAGCTGGCCGCTTGTGAAGAATGTTATACAAATTTTTGGCACCATTGTTGCCTAAAAACTAAACGTGAATTCTGACAATTCAGGTTTAATTTTGCTTGTGCCACCAGCTTCTTGTATGACATTGGGCAATTCAGTTTGCCATATGTGCCTCAGTTTCTCCATCTGTACTAATAGCTACCTCATGCAACAGAAGTGTAGACTTACTGTGCAAGTGGGAACTTATGCCCTCAATAGAAGTAGACAATATACTTTATGTTAAGATAAGTTACATACGATGAAAAAGCTCTCTCTTTGTTATAAAGTATAGGCTAGGTAACTCTTGAACTAGTTCCGTATCAGTTTATTCATCTAGCTGGGCCTAGAGAATACAGTCTTAACAATCAGCGTGGAAAAGCACTTGCACACTTATGTAGTCTAGTGCAATGGCTTATATCTTGCTAGGATCAAATGCTGCTGTTTTGTATGCCTAGCATTTCACCTCTGTAGTGTTCCAGTTATAAGCATTGGCAAGCCTAGGCTAGACAATTCCTAAGCTGCTGGTAGTGGTTCGGACTTTCTTTCATCATAATCATGTTTGGTCTTGTCTCAATTCCATTTTTTAAACAAATGAAAGGGATTTGATATGGCCTTAATGAAGTAGCTGCTATAGAGCAATTGGAACTTCGGGGACACGCTGAGGATGCAGGTTATGAGGACTGTGCAAAATCATTTTGAGGGACATTTCATGAAGTAACTGAAGCACCCTCCAGATTCAGTGCTCAAAACATGTAAGTGTTGCATCCTGTTGAATTCTCAGTGCAGCCATTTTGAGAGACTCCCCTAATTGTCTGAGCATGCATGTGGGACTGTTGCTGAAACAAACTGAACGGTTCATAAGCCCTCAGGAGCTCCACGCTCTAACTGCACAATTAACCTTATAGTTCACATTGCTAAAATTGACTCTAAGAATAGCAAACCTACCAAAAGGCAGTTATTCCCAAATTTCATGTTTATTGTTTCAT